AAGCAAGCACCTCCTTGCTTTTTACTATAAAAAGGGACCTCACACCCCTCATTCAAGGCATCAATATCATTCTGAAAACCTGAGAAATCAAGCTCCCTTACTACATCTCACTCTTGCTTGCATTTTGCAAAATTCTCCAAAGTTGTCAAGTTAAGCCAAAATTCTGCATTTTGCAATTTCACTACCACATCAATCTCCACCAATTCCAACACCCTAAAAATCATCCACACACCTTCTAAATAACATATAGAAGGTGTACAATTCATCAAACCACCAAAAAACTCAAGAAATCAAAAAGTCAAATGTTCATGTAGCTTACTTTGACCAAAAGCCATAAAAATCACCAAAGTGAGTTCCAAGCATTTTCTTGAGGATTTGATCACTCATACACCTCAACATTATCATATCTCAACTGTCTAAACACTCACCAATCATTATAAGTTCACATCTCTTCATTTGGCACCATAAGTGCATTGTTACTTAAAGTGGAAGAAAGACTCAAAAGCAAGTAGGTGACATAAAGGATCTCTGGTATTTTTCTGCTCTAGCTTGTTTGAAAGGTTCATCAAAAGGTATGTACTTGATCTTTATTCACTTTTGCATCATTTCCCATGAAATCACACTTTTGAGCATATTGGTAGATTTTGAATCATGGACACATGTTTGCTTTTATGATGTTTGGTTTTGATGGATGATTAATAGTATAAGCATTGAACTTGTTCTGGCCATGTCTTGCTTATGATTTTATGTTGTCATTAGAGTTCTGTTTATTTGGATATATTACATCCAGGGAATTGCATTGGTACCACTAAATGCATACTGTCATTTGGTTTTGTCACAGTCATGCTTGTTGACAAAATTATTGCTCATGCCAAAACCTGTTAGTGAAATAACAGTCCCCCTGTCATGCATATATTGATCATGTGGTGTTAATCTGCATCTATTTTATTCATTACTGTTTAAAACTTGTGGTGTTTATGTTGACAAAATTGGTAGCTTTCATTTAAAGTGATTTAAGGGTTGGTGGTTATGCAATAATCAAGTTGCATACTGTCACAAGCTTGTAAGATGTTGTAAAACTGAATGTTGAATTAATTGGGGGTGGGATAAAGAAGTTCATACAATTTGTGTTTGCCAGCAACATATTTGAATTAAAGGATGTACTGTGATCAAGTTTCTTGTGTTTGGTTGATGTTGAAATAAACTAATGTGAACTTAGGAGACTATGCTAGATGGTTTTGTTTCTATCATTAATATGAATATCATGATTGTTGATTTTTGATTACATGTCCTTTTTTCCAAAGTGTGAGTTGATCAAATTCTATTTGAGACATGTTGGTAGCAGTCCTCATCTGTTGTTATTGTGTGAAGAACTGAAACATCATCCTAATTTGAGTAAAACAAAATCTAGCCTTGCCTTACATTGGATGATAGGCCATCACTTTGCTACCACCAAAGCCATAACAGTCAACACTTACTTTTTGCACAACACATGACAGATTTGTTTTCTTCACTTTAACATGTTTCAATGAACATTCTAAGTATGCTTGTATGCTTACCTGGCTGTTTTGTACATAGCATCAAAATTCACATTTTGTCACAAAAGGTTTCAAACACACATCAAGCCACAACATTGTCACTTTTTGCATAACACATGATATGATTGCTTTCCTCATTTCAACATGTTTGTGTGAACATTTTAAGCATGTCTACATGATTGCTTTGCTGTTTTATGCCTTATACCAAGTTTTCACATGATGACACCAAAATTCAAACACACACCAAGCCACAACTTGACACTTTTGCACATACTTACTTTTCCATTGAAACCACACCTCATGTTATTCAAATATAGCATGCTAGTACACTTGTTTGAGTCAGAAACATACTGCACCACAAAATCACTCACAAGTTGCTTTTTTTTTTTTTTTGCTTTTACATGTTTGCACATTACATACCAGTTTGTGAATGGTTGATTATCTTTGAAGTCTTTGGGTTATAACAGCTTAGTATGATCATATATGACATGTTTAAATGAACTAAACCACTGAAGCTGACTTGAAGACCAACCTGTATCATCCCTTGCACATAACATGTACCAAAATGCAATTTGAAAGCCAAATAGCTATACACTTGTTCCAGTCTGGTTTTTGTCACACACACACATTTAATATCATGTATTAAAGGTGTTTGGAATGTTGCCTTGACTCAATTTTAACTGAAACTCAAAAACCATACTGTCATGCATCTATACTTTATGATCATTTGCAATTTGAATATGACTTTTCATAATTAGCATATCCTGGCCATGAACATGTTTACATTTGTTTATATATCATATAATGGATGTGTATGGATGTTTAGTTGGCATTTAGATTGATTGTATCAAGCTGTACATGACATTTTGCAAATCTTAAGCCAAAACAAATACCCTATCGGGTTTTCCAGTAGAAAAATGATTTTCAAAAACCAACACCACCATCCTCTTCCTCATGATTTTCTACCCCAAAAGCATATAAAGTTTGTGACAAAAGACCAAAAATTAAGGAAGTTATGAACCATTTTGCAAATCTTGAAAATGCTTTGTTTTGCCCAAACATGAATGAAGACATACCTTATATATTTATCCTTGTGCATTTGTTAATGGATGTATGGCCGCCCCAGCGGTTGAGACTTACGCGCGTATTAGACTTGGCATGGGTTGGTGATAACCCTTGTTGCCACTTTTTCTCATTTTTTACATGAAACTTCAAAAAATCATAACTCTCTCATTTTTTATCATTTTTCACTCATTCTTTTTTCATTATGTTTGTTTTAATATGTACTTTTATGCCATGTAATTATTTCCCATTTTTGATTATTTTTTCACCATATTTGATTATGTGCGATTCGTGCGTTAACAGTACTAACCCTAATCAGTTGTAGATGAAAGTTAAAAGGGTTCCACTTGTTTTTCTTTGTGAAATTTGATTGTTATCATACCTATACATGTTTGTCAACATGCTAGGATTTTTACTTTGAATTATTATCATGTTTATCTCATCTGTTCATCAACTGTACTCCAGGTGCGAACTGTCGTCACAGTTCTCGTACTAAACTATCTGCTTTGATTGTCATCATTGCTTTTCATCTTTAAATCTTTTTTGTTGGTTGTCACCATGATTTGCTATTGTATAATATTTGTATCTTATTTTATCCCCAAGTGATGAAGCTTGTTAGCTTTCGTCCAGTTGCCGATTATCTGTCCCTCCAAAGGAAGGACTGTCCACTTGACTGCCAATGTCTTGGACCAAACTCTCTACATTCCCTTTGACTTTGTTAAGTCATTTTAACCCTAATTAAGAAACCTTTAGACTTTTCTTGAAGTCTAAGAAACCCACCCATACTAGAAGTGTTCTTCAACTAGAACCCTAGGAAAGAGTTCGTCAGCTCTGTGTGAGAATCATCGTCATGATTTCTTACTTCCCCATTCAATTTAGATTAGGGAGTTTTGTCAAACTCCACACAAACATTGTCATGTTTGTTCCCCCCATGAACCTTGATCATCATCAAGTGTTCTTTCCCCTTGTGAGGTGAACTACGATTGCTCTGATTCTATCCTAGTCAGGATACGTAGGCAAAAGGTGCGATACCTTTGCGAGCAAACTTAGAGAACCACTTAGGCCTTTGTTTTATTTTTCTCCCAATTCCCAACTCATACCATAATGCATATTTCACACCTTAGCAAGTATTTGAACAAAAGGTTCCTGTAGAGTACTACAGATATTTAGGGTGCTAATACCTTCCCTAGATATAACCAACCCCCGAATCTCTAAAGCGTTGTAGTTACATCGCGCAAAAGGTTCTTTCTTTCTTTAGACCTATCCTTTGGATAAATTAAAGACCGGTTGTAAAAGAAATACGGTTCAAGTTAATTAATAGCTTGATATCCAATTTTCACCGCAACAAGTAGGATCTACAATGAAGATAGTAGAGCTCGGTCTAGTCACAACAAGAGTTTAAATGATAAGAGAGGAAAGAACAATTCATAGGGAAACCGTATGTGACTCCTGCTGATAAGGGGAAACAGAAAGCTGGTAATGGAAAGAAGCCGAGTGGGGGAGGAGCTCCTACACTGACAAACATTCACCATATCGCCTTCCATCATCATACATGTTATTCTAATTACCATGTATGTTGAGATGAAGTCAATCCTTTAACTCAACCTGAAAAAACCTTTGCTTGTTAGAGTTGCTGACAAGTTGAGACCACACTTATTTGACAGTAGTATAATCCTTTAAGGCGTGCAACATAGATTCCTCTTTATCCCTGCATTCATCACACTTATTATTTCTCAGCTTGAACTACCAAAGACAATTCTCGATGATGAGACTTTTATAAAATAAAATTCATTACAACTTTTATCGTTCTCAATATTTGATAACGACGAGTACTTTGATAAAAATAAAATTCTCTCTTTTTCATTTATATCTAAATTATTGTAGAAACAAAGAAATATAAATTTTGCCATTAAATTTTCTATAGCATTTTTCTCTAGTAAAATAAAAGTTTTTCCTATAAAAGAGAAATTTGATGTCGAAGCTAAGAAGGTAAGAATATAAAATTAATAAAAATATCTAAATCTCTCAATTATAATAAATTGTTTCTCAACTACAATCCAGTTGAAAATTGATTAGAGTCTTGCTCTCCACGGCAATCCCTCGACTAACACACATTCATCGAAAAGTCAAGAAAAGAACCAACTCATAGAAAACAAGAGAAAGAATGAGACTGAAAATAAGCGCTTATTCAACGCTTTTTCTCGGCACCCAATTTCAGCGAATAATAACGACCACTGCCAATTGGTCCCACACATTTCCTCACCCATAATCAAATCCAAACTTAATCACTTTTTCGTCTCAACTCAACTGAAAAAGAAAAAAACACAAACACACAAACACAATCTTTTGTTTTCGTTTTGTTCAGTAATTAACACCGCTACCTAGTACTACACCAACAACATGATAACATCTTCTAAACCACACACTGATGCTGCAAAAACCGAACAAATCATCACCGAATTCTTCGCCAAAAGCCTCCATATAATTATAGAATCGAGATCACTTTCTGCTTCATCGCGTAATTTCAGCACCCTCTCTTCACCATCTTCAACCTCGTCATCATCATCCTCTAGTGTTCGTCCCAGAGATAAATGGTTCAATCTAGCTCTTAGAGAATGTCCTACAGCGCTTGAAAACGCTGACCTATGGCGCCACAATAATCTTCACCCGATTGTGGTGGATATTGTTTTGGTCCACAGAACCATGCAATTGAACTTGAAAGAACAAAACCCTTTTGAGGAATTTGGAGTTGGGGGTTCACAGAGTGAGAAGATTGTAGAGAGATGGGTGATTCAATATGAAAGCAGAAAAACTAGGGATTGTTCTAGTTCAAGCAGTACAAGAAGGTCAAGTAACACTTTTTTGCAAAATTTGTATAAAAAAGCTACTTTACTTATAAGGTCTTTGTATGCTAATGTTAGGCTTTTACCTGCTTATAAGATTTTCAAGGAACTTAATTCTTCTGCAAATGTTTGCGCTTTTACTCTTGCTCATCGTGTGTCTACTTTTTTTGAACCTTTTACCTCTAAACAAGAGTCTGAAATGCTCAAATTTGTGTTCACTCCTGTGGATACTTTGTCTGGTAGGCTATGTCTTTCCGTAATGTATTGTCAGTGTGTTTCTGATGTGAGTTCTGAATCATCTACTCCTTTGTCTCCGCGAGTTATAACTGATTATGTCGGTAGTCCTATGACCGAGCGGTTGATGCGGTTTCCGTCGCTACCAGTGGTTAGAATGCCATTACATGGCTCTCCGTCATCGTTGCCGTTTTCGAGGAGACATAGTTGGAGTTATGAAAATTGTAGAGCCTCGCCTCCTTCCGCTAATTATTATTATTCGCCTTCACCTACTCATTCGGATTCGCAGACATTGGTTTCTAATGCTAGTTATCAATGTTATCCACCACCCTCTAGTTTGCCTCCTCATCCAAGTGAAATGGCTTTGCTTCACAAGAAGAATGTGAATTTCGATGATTACTATCCTTCGCCAAATTTCTCTCCATCTCCCTCACCTTCTTCATCATCTCCAATCTATCATTTGGGATCATTACCTTCAAAAACACTTTTACGCTCCGAAAGTGCTCCGGTCAACATACCTAATGCTGAAGTTGCTAATTCCGCTGGACATACGAGTAGGCATAATTTGCCACCATCTACTCCAATTAGAATTTCAAGGTGTACTTCTGAGACAGATAGGAGTAATAATCTCATGCAATTGTGCACACCAGCTGAAAAGGTATATATGCTGTATCATATACTAAATTATTGATCACATTGGATGCTTTGTTTGTCTGATTCTTTTTATTTTTTATTTTTTATATATTCTCATCTTATGGTTGGTTTTTGCTCTGCATAGATGTGTTCTCTTAGAAAAGATGAGTCTCAAAAGTATTCTAGAGTGAAGATAGTACCGAACAGCTCGCCGCATATTTCATTTTCGAGGAGCTCTAGCAGGTCTTATCAAGATGATTTTGATGATACTGATTTTATTTGTCCTTTTGATGTGGATGATGACGATACAACAGACCCAGGCAGCAGGTACTTTATGACAGAAATTCATAGGGATTTATGCTACATTGTCAATGTTCTGTTGTAAGTAGTGGATGCTTTGTAGGTGGTGTTTTAATTCCTTCAAAGTATGATATAACTGCTAGATTGTGACCATATAGATAAAGGGGAACCTATTACTGCAAAAATATTACCATGGCAGGGTCTAGGAAAGGATGGACCATTTTTGGATCAATGGCTAGATTATGACAATTTTAATAGATAATCGACCTTTTGTTTAGTATTGTTTTCAGTGAGGGTGAATAAATCAACACAACTCTGAGTGGATTAGGTTACAACTCGCACGTGAGTGAGTATCTTAGAGGGAGTAAAGTAAAAAGGGGGAAAATTGATTAAGAAGTAGATAACAAAGCAAAACCTGAAATAAAATAAGTTCTATTGTATTCTTTATTTTTCAATTGCTATCATCGTTGAATTGTTTTTTTACTTGAAGGGGGATCAAATGAAAACAATATGATTCTCACTCTTCTTCCTCCTTTCTGCTTTAGATATTGACATAATTACTAACACCCATGCATTTTGATTTTCATGAATATTTTTGGTTCCACCTTACTAGTGGTGAAGATTATATATTTGTGTTATTTTCCGAAAGTTACATCATGTAGAATTACTTCTTGAAATTTTAGTTTTGAGCGTATGGGTTTTGTTTTGTGGCGTAGATTTTCTTGGAAATATGATCAAAGCATTTGTATTCCTTTGGATTGGATGCATAATCAATAAAAACACATTTTCTTGCTCTAAACTCAAGTTTCCATCGGTTGGTTTCGTGAACATGTACAAAAACATTACACCCAAATATTTTCAGGAGTAGAATGTATGAGAGCCTTTTATTTGGAAAATCACTTGTGAAATGTCAAATGGAGTTCTAAAATTCACGGTTTTGCTAGCATATTCTATTTGTCCAACGGGTTACAGTAAGAGTAGTCACACCCCAAATCTACTTTGGATCCTTATTCTGAAACAATAATGCCCTAGCAACTACAAGATGTTTATTTCGTTTAGCCAATCTATTTTTGTTGCGGGTGTCAACACAAGAACTCTGACGAATAATATCAGGTTGAAGGAAAAACTCATGTAAGTGTTTGTTATAATATTCCGTTCAATTATCATCACAAACAAATTTGTTTTTCACTTAAAATTGTGTTAGAACGTAAAACTATTGGAATTATTTTGAATATGCTTTCAACCTCAGATTTTGTTTTCGTTATGTAAACCTATGTTATACGACTGAGATCATTTACCAAGATGATAAACCATATTTTCCATTTGGTGTGAGGTCTCTGCAAGGTCCCTCAAACATCACTATGAATTCAGGTGAATGGAATAAATGGTTCATGAGCATGAAGAGAATAGGACGCATGATGATGCTTTACAAATTGACAAACTTTGCAAAAAAAACTGCATGGGAATGGAATAAATGGTTCAGGAGTATAGGCTCAACTTAATCTCTGATTCTTTATGATTGGCTGAGATCATTTACCAAGATGATAAACCATATTTTCCATTTGGTGTGAGGTCTCTGCAAGGTCCCTCAAACATCACTATGAATTCAGGTGAATGGAATAAATGGTTCATGAGCATGAAGAGAATAGGACGCATGATGATGCTTTACAAATTGACAAACTTTGCAAAAAAAACTGCATGGGAATCGAATAAATGGTTCAGGAGTATAGGCTCAACTTAATCTCTGATTCTTTATGATTGGCTGAATAACAATGTTGGGATGACACTCTTAATAGAGTTTAGCTTTGAATCATCACAATTAACTATGGACCCGTTTGTTTTGGATTTAAAAAAAAATGATTTTTATGGGCGTGTTTCAAAAAAATCACTTAATTTTGAAGCTATTTCAAATAGATTTTCATAAAAAACACTTTTGAGATATAACTTTTTGAAAAAATTGCGATTTCGACTATCTTTTGATCTTCACTAATGTATGTTTATATTATAGGGTGTCAAAATTAGTCTTTCAATTTGGAAAAAACGAATATAAAAAAACATGTAATATTTTGAAAAACGGTTTTGTAAAATCTATTTTTGAAAATACAAAGAAAAAAGTCCATTTTTTTTAAAGCTGAAACAAACGGGCCCATAACTAATCTGAACCTAACAGAGTTAGTTACATGAATTCTAACAACCTAACAGAGTTAGTTACATGAATAACCTCTAACTAATTTAGTCTTTAAGTTAGTAGTTACTCTAATACTCCTCCGCAAGATCAAGGGGGTTGGGAGACAACCCTGAGCTTGAAACGAAGTTCTTGAAACATAGAGGTGCTGAGTGGTTTGGTCAATGTGTCAGAAATCTACACACTTGCACGCACATGTTGAATTGACAATTTCTTAGACACCATTCTTTCTCGACCAAAATGTATATGCTTGGTTCGAACATAGATCTTATGTCATCAGGATCACGCCAGTCACTACCACTATAGGTCCTGAGAGAAAATTTATGATCAGCAATGGTAGGCAAGAGGGAAAGGCCATATGAGATTGTGCCACTCAGATATCGAAGAATCCTTCTAACTGCAGACCAATGAGTATTGAGAGGGTTTTTTCACACTGTAGGCAATGTCTGGCCGAGTGAGTGTGACATACTGCAGCGCACCAATCATTGATATGTAATAATGAGGGTCAGAAAACAAATCAGAGCCATGTTTACTTAATTTTCAAGTGCTCAGCATGGGATTAGGCACTCCATTGACATCCCACCATGTTGGCCTTTTGCAATATATCTTTGATATATTTAAACTGAGACAAGACAATAGATTCCTGAGCTTTGCATTTGACCTCAATTGTTTTCCTAGGAAATAGGCAGGCTTGCCCAACTTTTTCAATGCAAACTTCTGATTAAGTTTGAGTATTAGGTCATGGATCAACTTAGGTGAGGAGCCAGTGAGAAGTATGTCATCTACATAGACCAAAGCATATAAAGTGATACCTTGATGAGAATAGATGAAGAGGGAATGATCACACTTGCTTGAAGTAAAGCCAAATTGAAATAGGGCTTGAGGAAACTTGTCATACCATTTCCTAGGGGTCTGCTTCAAGCCATAAAGTGCTTTGTCTAATTTGCAGACTAGGGTCTTGCCAATGTGAAAGTAGCCAGGCGGTTGTTGCATGTAGACCTCTTCCTCAACGGTGCCATTGAGGAAGGCATTGTTGATATTAATTTGTTACAACCCCACATGTAGGTCAGTGCTAAAGTGAGAATAACCCTTGTTGCAACTCCCACATGTAGGTCAGTGCTAAAGTGAAAATAACCCTGATGGTGATTGGCTTGATTACTGGTGCAAAGGTCTCATTGTAGTCAAAACCCAAGTTGTTGATGGAAGCCCTTGGCCACCAGGCGTGCTTTATACTTGTTAGCAGTGCCATTTGGATTTTCTTTGACCTTGAAGACCCACTTACACCCAATAACTTGTCTATGACTAGGCAGATTCGTAAGTGTTCAAGTATTGGCTTGAAGCAGGGCATTATATTCCTCCTGCATAGCTTTAAACCAGTGAGGATTGGCTAAGACATGTTTAACAGATGGAATGGCCAATCTTCCTTCTTGTCAACATAGGATGTAAATTATGAGTGAGAGTTGGCTTAGAAGGAAGTGTCAATATAGCCACAAATGTGTATCCTGAGAAACCACCTCTGGTGGAGAAATGCCTTGAGTGACAGCTTGTTGTATCTGTGTGTTCTGGGAAACCACCTCTGGCGGTGAAGTGCCTTGAGTGATAGCCTGTTGTGTAATACCCCGCTGAATACTCTGTAATATCCTTTGGTTGTAGTAGCACATGCTGAGAAAATTTCTGCATAGATGGAGATGAGTGATGGGATACAGACCCAATGTCATCAGATGACAATGACAGGTCAGAAGTTTCCGCATAGTCTATGTCAAGAGTAGGATTACCAGTGTTGCAGACAGACATATTTGGGACATGGCAGGGACTTGAGCTAGGAATTTGAGAAGTAGGGGCCACATTTGCTTTGGTGATTAGGAGAGAAGTAGTCAAAGGTGCAGTCACTAGGTCAGGAATAGGAGTTAAGAAAAAGGTGGAGTATGGGCATTTGCATTCATTAAAGGGCACATCCTTAGAAATAAAAGTTCTGCCTTCTTTACTGAAGTACTTATACCCCTTATGTTGAGGTGAGACACCTAAGAATACACATTCAACACTCCTTCAAATCTTTATACTGAGGCATAACTTTGTAGAGAACTAAGTAGGGAGAGGAGAGGTCAGCTAGTACTGTAGTAGGCAGCCTATCATGAGGTTATATGAGGTTATATAAGTGACAGTGGTGAAGCTGTGGTCACAGTAGGTAAGAGGTATTGAAGCATGTGCTAGTAAGGTGAGACCTATCTCTACTATTTGTCTGTGTTTGCGATCAACTGTGCCATTTTGGTGAGAAGTATGAGGTTATATGAGTCCGTGGATAATGCCTAGGCCATGTAGGAACTTTGTAAAGGGCCTAAGTTCCCCACCCAAAATCAGACTGAACTGCCTTTATTCTGGTGCTGAATTGTGTTTGAACAAATGCCAAGAACAACTGGAAGGCAGTCATAGCATCAGATTTAAGCTTTAACAAATAAATTCATGTGTATTTAGAATATGCATCAACAAAAGCAATATAGCATCTATAACCACTTTTAGAGGGAAAGGGTGCAGGGCCACATAGGTCAATATGAATTAAGTCAAATGGGGCTTTATAGACAGGTAAGGACAAGGGAGCATGCAATTTATGAGATTTACCTGAGCAACAGGAACCACAAAGTTGAGGCACACTTTTATGCAGTTTTTATATTACACAACCTAAGAATTGACTGGCACAGTATTAAATTTGAGGAGTTCTAGTCTATAATGCCACAAAGAGATATCATTATAGTTTGCACAGTTTGTCAAACTAAAAGAGTAATCAGTAGTACTACTACTATGAACATGTGAAACTAAGCCATATGTGCTAGAGGATTCCAGCTGAATATGAGGAAAGCAATAGAGGCCATTAGCATCCAGGAATCCCTCAGGTACAACTTTTCAAGAATCCTGACAACAAATTCCTAGTGATGGAAGGTACATGAAGAACATTCTTGAACACTATCTTATAGGTAGGTATCAATTTAGAAACAAAATGAGATGAGCCAACAGACTTAATGGAGAGACCTTGACCATTACCTACATACACCTTATCATTGCCTAAGTATGGGGCAGTTATGCAACAAAGAATCTAGAAAGGTTAATCATTACCTAAGTATGGGACAGAGTTATGCAACAAAGAATCTAGAAAGGTTAAGTTAGTTACACGATACCATATGAGAGCTCAATCGAATATCTGATTCATTATGATTGGTTGAATTACAATGTTAGGATGGCACTCTTAATATAGAGTTTAGCTTTGAATCATCTCAACTAACTATAACTAATCTTAACAACCTAACAGAGTTATTTACATGAATCCTAACAACATAACATAATCAGTTACATGAATAATCTCTAACTAACTTAGTCTCTAAGTTAGTAGTTACTCTAATAAGGAGCATGAAGAGAATAGGACGAGCAGGGACGCTTTACAAATTGACAAACTTTGCAAGAAAACTGCAGGGGAATGGAATAAGTGGTTCAGGAGCATCAAGAGAGTAGGACGACGCTTTACAAATTGACAAACTTTGCAAGAAAACTGCAGGGGAATGGAATAATTTGTTGAGGAGCATGAAGAGAGTAGGACGAGTTTACAAATTGACAAACTTTGCAAGAAAACTGTAGGGGAATGTAATAAGTTGTTGAGGAGCATGAAGAGAGTAGGACGGGTTTACAAATTGACAAACTTTGCAAGAAAACTGGAATTTGATTTTTTTTCCTCCTAAATAATTTAGGAAATAAGTGCTTCAAACACAATTTGAAACACAAAATCTCTGTTGCATGATAAAATTGGAATACGAAGAACATTGTGAAGGGTTAGAGTTTTAGATAAAGAAATTGAACCTATACCAGCTATAGTAGAAAAGATAACATCATATATTTTGATCATTTTATAATCTGCACGAGTGTACTATATGCATATAACAGTTTTGAGCATTCTGTCATATGATTTGTGGCTTCAAAATCGTCGATCCATGGAGCTTTAGAGTAAGGTTTAGTACTGAGGAGAGCAGAAGAGAAAGAAATACATTTTTGAGCTAAGAGGTTGGAGAAACTAACATTTTTGTTGTAAAGAGTTTATATAGGTGTACTCTACTCGTTCCTTAGTGAAAGGAGATGACTCATAATCTCCCTTTTGCTTCATATTTTCTGCACTTGCAGCTTGGAAAGCGCGACCCTCTCAGTTTGACTTTTTTTTCTTCAAGTTGGGTGATTTTCCATGGAATTTCGAGTATGTTTCCTTAGTGTGCAACGGCTGTCTACATTGATCGCTCCAAGGTTGCTTCATTCTTTCTCCTGGTTCATGTTCCCTTGCAACCAATGCTAAACTTTCAGCCTCTTGAATCATTATATATTTGGAGTGTCGTGGCATAACATTTTCCCTAGACTCCTCCCTCCTTGCTTCAGCGAACACTTCCCGCATTGAAGTCACAGGTTTCAGCCTAGAATTCTGCCACAAACTTCATCAAGTTCTTGAATCTAGTTGCATTGTCGGGATTTTCCCAATTATACTCGTAACAAACTCTTGCCAGAGGGTAACTTTAATGTTGTAAAATGCTGTGACACCCTTGTTTCCTTATTCAGAGCTTCCAGAATTATTGGAAGGCGTCGTGGAGGAGACCGAGTCCTTGTCCTCATCTTTTTCCGGGGAGCTATGCTCTCTAGTCAGGTAGTTTTTCCATAGCGAACTGCCACCGGATAAGAGCCGGAGCCCCGATATGGAGTGATGTTCGGGCTGTGGCTAGGTTAAAGCAGTAAGAGAAGAGGAAACCTGCTTGATATATCACTCGGGAATAAAAAAATGTACGTATACAGGCATGACTTCCTACTACCTAATAAATGTAGGATTGGAAGAAAACTAAAAATGGAAATCAAATTAAAAGTTAGATTGATTTGATTCTGTCCCAAAATTAATTTAAAACCAAGAATACAATCAAATCAGAATGATCTGATCTTGATTATGATAATTTTCTCTTCTATACTATTTGTTCAAACACTTATATATCCCGCAGTCAATGTAACCTAATCCTGACTTTTATATCCGGCTGTCAATGTAACCTAATCCTGATAATTTGCTCTTCTATACTATTTGTTCAAACACTTATAACAACTGAATATTATTGATTAGTCTCTGGTGAAAGATTCCCAATCAGATATGACAACATACATTTACACACGTGTTTCTACCAAGATTCGAGACCTTGACCTCTTATCTTCCCAAATATTTGAGAGTAGGTCTCTCCCTTTCCAAATTCCACTATGAATTTCTAAGATAAAACTGCCCCTGCCCAGTGTTTTTCCTATTTATTGTTACATACCACCTAGAAATGAATAGGCATAGATAATTAGATAATTAATTACTGCTCACATACTCACAGCAGAAACACCCCATAACTGGACTAATCAGTTTTTCCCCTTTTCCTCTTATACACATTTCGAATAAGAGGCCTAACAATACTCCCCTCTAAAACTTCACCTTGTCCTCAAGGCGAGGGTTACCCAAGTGTTCATCGGGGTCCCAGAACTTGAATTCAACCCCCACTTCTGAGTTTTTCACCGTAGTTCTCATCCTCCACATTTTCCTCTAATAACAAGACTTGAAAATGTTTGTTTGCACATACATGTCCAGAGCTAAAAGTGTTTTATATTGCAATTCTGCATATGTCAACTTTCTAAAGCCTTTGCCTTTGAAAAAAAAGTTTGGTTGTGACTGATTTTGCCTCACATGTGAAACTTGCAGCAATGAAAACAGTCTGTGGATGACTTTTATTTTCAGGAGAACATATCACAGTCCTGCTATTATCGTAGTTTTCGAAGAATGGTTCACCACCAGAATTCGTACCACCATTCCCTTTATTTAACGAGCTATTTTTCTCATCCAGCCTTTGTGCATAATCTATCAATTCAGTCAGTCGTTCTACATGATGCAGTTTCAATTTTCCCTTGTTACATCTTTGAGTCCATTAAAAAATATTCCATTTAAATAAGATGGTTCAGCATATTTCAGAGGGCCTGCATATAACTCAAATCCCTCTGTATATTCTTCCACTATTACAGTTTGTTTTAGGCTCAACAACAATTCAAAGGGATTTTGGATCATTGAGTTGGCTATTCTGAATTCCTCCCAAATCAATTTTGATGTAGAAAACTCCCACCATTGATTCCAAGCAAGTGCTTTGCCCTCATGGCTACCATTGCCGCATGCAATCTATCTTTTTCCTCCACTTGCTTTAGGTCAAAGTAATGCTCTACACGATTTAACCAACCGTAAGCATCGACTCCTTCAAAAATTGGAGTTTCCAGTTTTTGCCATCTTTTTTTAACAAAACCGTGGAGGACTGTGATTCACATATGCATCCTCTCCATCTGAATTGCTCTCGCTGTGTCGTGTTCCTCCTGGACTTTGGCGCCTCGTGCAACTAACGGTTTAGACTAATTCTGCTATTTTCCGTCTAACCTTCATGCGCTCAACACAGTCTTCTTCACGTTGTTTCTCCATTATTTCTCTCATGGCCAACAACGCTTCAAACCCACATTCTAATAGTTTAATTCGTGCCTCCATCTCACTTCTGGTAATCACCATCAAAACAACAAGGATCGTAGTGCTCTGAGACAAGTGGATAGAAACTGTTACCAACAGGAAGTATTTGTGAATAACAACTGAATATTATTGATTAATCTCTGGAAAGGTTCCAAATCAGAGATGACAACGTACATTTACACACATTCCAACCAAGATTCGAGAGCTTGGCCTCTCCCCTTCCCAAATTTTCAAGAGTTGGGTGTCCTCCTTTCCAAATTCCACTATGAATTTCTAAGATAAACTGTCTCTGCTCAGTGTCTTTCCTATTTACTGTTACACCACCCATAAATAATTAGATAATTAATTGCTGATCACAGCATTAACGCCTCATAACTAGCAGTCACTGTCCCATTAAGTAATTGCGCCGTATCTAGCAGTAATTTTTTCATAACTGGAATAATCAGTTTTGCCTTTTCCTGCTATGCCCATTTCGAATAAGAGGTTTAACAGTATCATTGTTTAAGACCATTCTTAGTTCACATGATTTAACAACTCTTGTAAATCTGTTACGCCGTTCATTTTATGTTGTTCTTAAAATTGTTTTTTTTACTCAAAAACAGCTAGAGGGGCTTATGGAAACATGATGTTAATAACTTGACATTGATACTTGTGCTGACTGCTTGTTATTACTACAAAGTAGAAATTAACTATAAATTTTTTTCGTTCAGATTTTAAATAGTTTATTTGTAGAATCTGGCAATCTTTTCTCTGTTTTGTTGAGTTATATTATATATATATATGAAAGATCATTACTCTATTAGTTTAAAAAATCTCATATGTCTATTTATGCATGCAACAGAGCGGAATCTTTAGATCACGGTGACATGACTCAACTGCTTGAAGCGGGTAGATTCCTTCCAATCAGAAAGTCCCAAGGTGCTGCAGTTGGTGCACTTGTAAATAGGTTGAAGAAAGCAGCACCTCTTCATCAAGACTCCTCTACATGTCAAAACACATCTCAGCGTGCGTGTCCTGAAATCCTAAACAGCAGTAAATTTCAAGAGCCTAACCAGATTCCAAATACCCTATCACCACCGGTGAGTATAATGTCTTATGGTAATAAGAAAACAACAAATGATGCATTGGAAGAGTTTCATAGTTATAGAGAAATGAAAAACATGTTACTTAAGCCGCGTGGTGGTGGTAGTAAGCAACAAATATAGCGCTTGTTTGAAAGCAATTGAAATATGTACATAGTTCTTTGTGTCTGTGGTAACTTTTGATGAAATATGTAGAGTTACAAAAACATGTTCATTTTATTAATATACATATGTTAAGTGAATACATAAAAGTTAGTGGTATAAAAATAAAATGTTGATTCCTATCTACAAAGAAATCTTAAAAGGAAAAGCACGTGCATGAAATTAAGTATAAGAAACAAAGTTAAAGAAAATGAAATCTTTTTGTTTTGCTACTGAAATGACATTGACTCTCACCCTTATCTCTCCCAGATTATGGGTCCACAACTAGTGCCCATGGAATAGCAAAATGATTGATTTGATTAATATCTAACAGAGAATTATTGAAAAAAGATGGTGAAACAAAACAACGTATATATCTCTAACATTTTCAAACATTTTCAAACATATTGGCCTTTCAAACATATTGGACGGAACCGACATATTCAGTTTCAGTTGAATTTTGATTGAACCAAAATTTCTTGTGAGTGATCGATACTGATAAAATGGTGGCTAGTGTGGTCAAATTAGAGGGGATGAATCGGTGATATAGTTCGGATTTTAATATAGGTCAAAAGTTAATTTGGAAATGAACTTTCCTACTGAGACTCCCTTTCTCATTTTCAGAGTTTTTTTTACTATAGTATCCCATATTTGAAAATTAAATACTATAATATTCTATTTTGAAAAAAACTATTTCAATATATTCCCGTGGACGAGCACATAAAGAATTTACATGCATGAAGGTGTTCGTCCAATGAGTTAGGTGAGTGTTTTGTAATTAATTAAACAATATTTTAGTTTGAAAAAGATAAAAATATGAAAAAAATAAGAAAATGTTCGCCAACTGATTGGACGAGCACTTACGTGCATGAAAATCCTTCATATGCATGGAGGGTATGTTTGAATTTTTTTTCAAAATAGGGTATTATGGTATTTAATTTTTAGATATGGATAGTACGGTAAAAAAACCTCTCATTTCCGGTATACTCTATCAAATTCTCAAACTCTTTCAAATACTCTCAACTCACTTCCAAATTTCTATTCTCAATATCTAATCAATTGATGTGTTCAACATCAAACTCACAACAGGTAAATTTGTTAATCTAAGTTTTTTACATTTGATTTCTTTATACATGCATTTGTAGAAATTGAGCATTAGGTAGGTAGTTTAGATGAAATATGCATTTTGGGCATATGTTTGGTTTTAGGTTGTATAATATACATCATTATATAATATGATAGATAGTTTAGATTAGAAATGCATTTTGGGCATATGTTTGGTTTTAGGTTGTATAAATACATCAATAAAATATGATAGGTAGTTTAGATGAAAAATGCGTTTTGAGCATATGTTTGATTTTCATGCATTTTGTCATTTGCGGTTTTTCTGAATTGTAGGTTAATATGGAAACGCAGTCCTGTATTTTTTTAAAATTTGTTTTTCCAGAAATACAAAAATGCATTTATGTATTTTATCTGTCTGTATTGTTTGACTTAATTATTGATAGCATGGCTGGCAACTATATGATTTCTTTTTATCTGTTCACGACTTTAGTAATACATTTCCCTCATTTTTAGACATGTCCTAAACAAACCCAGGCCATGTGACTAACACCTGAAATATTGCACAACCTCAATTGAAGTGTGCCATAATAGCCTTTCCTATAGGCATTACACAAGTCCGGATGAAGCCACTAGGCTCATAATCTTACTAAATATTAAAACTCATCTTTTTCATTTGGGACCCAAATACAGGACAAAAAAATAAGGAACCTTACTATACTAGTATTTTTCAAATTCCCTGTTCCTTCTTGTGCTCGTGGTCGTGGGTCCTCATAGCACCAGAATCAAGATATTAAACACCATTATTGTTATGACATTGTATCATGAAAAAAAGAAGAAGAAAAAAAAAAGTTCTTTTATATTATTATTTCCAAAATATAGAAATGAAGATACGTTTTGGACAAACTTTATTCCTTGTTTATATAATGTGTATATAAACTTCCACGTGGCACATTTTTATGCGTGTATGGTGGGATTGAATAGACCCATCTTGATTTGAAAGGCATTTTACAAAAGGTTGAAATTAGTGGAGTATCCATATACTTGACAATGAAGACATCTATGATTTGTCACATTTTAACCTTAATCTTATAGGAATATTCTAGTTACATAGCTAGCTACACTATTCACCACATTATTACAATTATTAAATAATAATTTCAAAAATTCCAACCACACTATATAATTATCAATCCTCTTATTGCAAGCAACCTCAAAAACTTAGCTCAAATTCATTAATATACTTCAAGCAAAAACATGTATGCTACTACTTCCTTTGTTTCACCACTTCTTCATGACCTTGAAATTTTTCACTCAAGAAGGATGTTACTTCACTCTCCAATTAACCAACCATCAAATTTAGCTAACTCTCCAATTTCCACAAATCTCCATGATTCGAGTAAAGAATCATCCTATCTTGGAGATGGTAATTTTGATGCAAATGTTGTTATGGTACTTTCTGTCCTATTATGTGCTCTTATTTGTTCACTTTGTTTGAACTCAATCATAAGGTGTGCATTAAGGTGTTCTAATTTAGTCGTCATGAGCGGCGGCGGCGGTCATCACGCTAATACTCCAGCTCTAGCGACAAACACTGGAATAAAAAAGAAAGCTTTGAAGACGTTCACTACGGTGAGTTATTCGCCCGAGTTGAATCTACCGAGTTTAGACTCTGAATGTGTGATATGTTTATCGGAGTTCATTAACGGTGATAAGGTGCGTCTTCTTCCAAAGTGTAACCACGGATTTCACGTTCGTTGTATTGACAAATGGCTAAGTTCGCATTCGTCGTGTCCTAAATGTAGACAATGTCTCATTGAGACATGTAAGAAAATTGTTGGATCACAAGGTAGTTCATCTCAATTAGCACAACCTATGTTGTTTCCGGTGCCGGAAACAATTGTAACAATAGTGCCACTTGAACATGAAGGTTTGGTGAGAAACTATAGGGAGGTTAGCTAGTGAAGTGGTGTTTTTCTTGTTTGAAGCTTTGAAGGTGAAATTGGCACTTTGAGTTTGTAGAATTAATGTGTTGAATTAGATCTAGTTTAGACTTAGCCATCTACCACAATCAATGTAGTGGTTATTGTTCATGAATGATTGGATGTGTAGAGTGTTCAAACTTCTAAATTGTATAAAAACACGTTCATATTATAATTGCTTCTTTACAATTATACTAATTTAATGTGTTTTATGTTATAATAAGGAGGGTACTTAAGAAAGAACATAACTACTAATAAGACAGGAGATAAGAAAGTGAACAAAATGGGACAAAATGAGTCACATTTTAAGGGTAAGACATATTTTAAGGTCTGCGTCAAGAAAGTTACAAGTTTTTAAAATTGGTATGGCATAGAATGATGTAGTTAAAATAAGTTAAGTAAATAACACTGATTTTGGAGTTTATTTTGATAATTAAAAATCTAAGTCAATATTTTAAAATTTACATCTGTCACTTGTGAGATGTTTACCTTAAAAAAAAAAAAAAGGAGAAGATGATTTATTTAAAATGGTGATATTGTTAATGAAATTTCCAATTAAATAAAGGCAATGAATATAGAAATGTCTCGTTTCAGTATCAACATCAATCTTGATTAAATGTATCTTTTTAAGGAGTTTCTAGTGAAGTTGGTAGTCTTACTAAAGAGTTTGCATTTTCCTTCTTTTTATTGGTGGGTGAATATAAAAACATTTGAAACAATGTGAATGAGCTAATGTTCACGTGCTCTAAGAGAGAAGATGCTCTTTCTTTCTCTTTAAAAGTTTAGCATGTCTTTTCTCTTTCTTTGTGGTTGGATCTCTCCAAATTTTTTTTATCATCTCTTTCGATCATCTGTTGCTTTCTCTAAAGCTTGTGTTTTGTCTTGTGTTTGCTTGACTATTTCGTGGTTCAGCTGAGTTTTGTTTTAGATATGAAAAAATGGAGGAACATACCATTGTCGAAGGAGGGAAAGGAGGGGTGACGGCGACGATAGAAAAGTTAGTGAATAAGAAGTCTTCTATCAAACACTTGTTGGGAAGTTATTGACCGAAAACCCTTTCAATACAAGGGCTTTTACAAATACAATTATCAACATTTGACATTTTAATAATCTAGTGGAAACTTAAGAGCTCAATAAAAATCTATTTTTGTTTCAGTTCTCAGGGAAGAGAGATCTGGAAACGGTGCTGAAAAATGGTCCTTGGAGCTTTAACCGCAGCCTTCTGGTTCTAAAAAGGCTTTTTGGTGAAGAGCAACCATCTGGTTTTGACATGCATTTTAGCTCATTCTGGATCCGATTATACGACCTACCTCTGATCCTCAAATCTGAGACTATGGCAAAAAAATTATGAAACAAATGGGAAGGTTTGAGGGGATGGATACGAAGAATGCTCATCGCAATAGAAGGTTCCTCCGTATTAAGGCATGGGTGGATCGTTAACAATCATTAAAAAGAGGGATTGTAGTCAGACATAAGGAGAAAACATATCGTGTATACTTTAAGTATGAAATACTTCCATCTTTCTACTTTGCGTGTGGTAGAATGAGCCATCAGCTGAAGGATTGTGAATCCTTGGGAGAACTGAGCGAGGAAGGATTTGAAAAAGTAGAAGAAAATGAACTATCCAATGGTCAGTGGCTACGAGCTTCCCCTTTATCTAAGTCTTACGAGGATACAAGATCCAAAGATTCAAGCTTAGGCAACTACAACAAAAGCCTCTTCAATGTCCCATTTATCCAAAGCTGATGCGGTACAAAGGACAGAGAAGAAAGGGAGACAAAAGTGGCACAAAAGAAGGTCATTCAAGACAAGGAATGAAGTGGTAAGCAAGGTGAATAAGAAAACCCCATGAGTAAAGCGTTGGAGATAGAAAAAATGGCGTAATATTTGGGAGAGGTCGTCATCACACCAATCTAGGATAAGATTGAGAATGTCAAAGTTCAAGAAAACCCACAAGACAAAAAATGGGCCAGGCAGAAAGTTGGGAAGAAGGCTACTAAGGAGAGAATAAAAAAGGTGGAATTGGAAACATGCAAATGAAAACTTGTAGATGTCATGATATTGGAGGGAACACTAGATGATTTTCGAGGGTTGGGTAAGAAAAGGAGGGAGAACGAAGATATGAAAGAAGCTCAAATTATGAAACCAAAGGTGGTGTTGGATGACCAACACCACATACACCAATGAAACTCTTGAGTTGGAACTGCAAGGGGTTGGGGAGTCCTCGTGCAGTTCGAGCCTTGCTAAGGCTCCTTCATCTGGGAAATCCAAATCTGATCTTTCTGATGGAGACACGTGTGAAATCAAGATTCTCAAAGATCAACATGTGTTTTGATGAAGACAAATCATGAAGGCAAAAGATGATCATGAAGACAAATCATTGAGAAGGCAAAATGAGAAACCATCAAGCATCAGGACAAAGACACAACTTTTAAGATGTTCTCATCTGAAGGTATAATGAGAAAGACCATTAAGTATTTAAGTCCTAATTGCTCAAATCTTTTTCATGACCTGTTGCACTTTCACAAGTTTTTTGAAACTGAAATTTTTCTATGTTTTTCAAAGTGCAATGGATTGCACTCTTAGAGCAATCGATTGCATGATCAAGTTTTTAACTTTTTTTTTATTCTGTTTCAGTAAGCAATCGATTGCTGCCTTAGTACAATCGATTGCATGACTAAAAATTTTCTCAGTTTTCAATTCTGTTTTGAAGTGCAATCGATTGCTGCCTTAGTGCAATCGATTGCTCACCGAACGTTTTTGAAAAATCCTTCTGAAAAAGTGCATCTCCTCATTCAAATATCTGTTATTTGTTTCCTTTGAAATATGACAGTTGATCATCAATTTTTCTGAGGAATTGTATGTTTTCTCAAGAGGTATTTGTGCAATATAAATACCTAGGTTTTCAAAATTCAAAACAACTTTCTTTCAAAATATTTCTTGAAATCTCTTTCAATAAAAAAACTCTTGAGTTTTCACCTTTGTTTTCCACATCTAAGTTTCACAAAGAATTTTCTGCATTAAAATTTCATATCCTTTGAAAAGAAAATTCTTGAGCAATAAGTCTTAGATACTTGTGGAATTTCCATTGAAAGAGAAGATTCAATCTCAGCATTGACTATCAACTACATTGTTACAAATCTTACAAAAATCAAAATTGTATTTATCTCTTCTTGCTGTTCAGGATTGTTGAAAGCAAGTGTGTGCATTAGAGAGGATTGTTCTCATTGCACTTAGTGTTTAGATCTTAAAGGTGGTTAAGAGCCTTTGATCTTTCTATAGGTTAGAACAAGTTGTACACTGATTCTAACTATAGTGAATTCTCTTTCGTGTTGAAAGGGGAGTGGAGTACCCTTGGATTGTAAGGGGAACCACTATAATTCTCTATGTCTCTTTTACTTTCTGTCTTTACAAGCTTTCATATCATCACCTCACTAAAAAGAAAGTATCATAAACTTCTTAAAACCAGAAAATTTCTGAAAAACCTAATTCACCCCCCTCTTAGGTGCATTACTCACTTACAACACGTCTAAAGGATAGAGAGATGCAGATGATAAAATTCAAAACTGGGTTAAGTAATTATGTAGTTATAGACTGTATTAGAAGTGGTAGAGATAGGGCTGGTGGCTTAGCCGTGTTGTGGAATAATTCTATGCAGGTTTCGTTGAAATATTTCTCTCAAAACCATATTGATGGGGTTGTAGGGGATTAACAAGAAGAGCAACCTTGGATCCTTTATGGGGTATATGGATTTCTCGAGGAACAAAACAAGAGGAACGCATGGTTAATGGTTCAGAATCTTCATTATGAAAGTAATGGTAATTGGATATGTTTTGGAGACCTAAATGGCGTGGTTACTAACAACGAGAAACATGGGGGATTGGTTATGTCTAGTAGTTAAGTAAATTGGGAGAGAGAGGCCATGGAGACATTTGGCTTGCAGAATATGGGGTTTGAAGGTTATCCTGACACTTGGTCGAATGGTAAAAGAGACGCCAACAACATCCAATGTAGACTTGATAAAGTGATGACCACTGCTGGTTACTTCACCAAATTCTTTTCCATCTAGATTACTCACCTCCAAAGGTTTGGTTCAGATGTTATTTTGACAATTGAACTAGAGAATAACACAAGGGAGGAAATAAAAAATAAATAACACATATTCAGGTTTGAGGATGCTTGGGCTAGGGATGAGAAGTATATTGTGATCATGAGACAAAGATGGAACAATGCTCCTGGGGGTGGGTTGAGCAAGACCAATTTTATGAAGAACCTTGGAAATGAATTCAAAGAGATTAACAACAAGTCAATTTATATGGAGGTCAAGAGGATTGAGGAAATTTTGAAAGAGGATATTAGATAGGGGGAGATTGAGGAGGATATCCGAAGTTATAAAGCCTTGGAGAAACAAAAAACAACTTATTGAGGGTAGAAGAGGTTATTTGGAGACAAAGAAGTATGGCAACATGGCTTAAAGATGGTGACTCAAATACTAAGTTCTTTCATGGAAAGGTGAACCAAATGAGGAAGACCAATGTAATTGGTAAGCTCAAGGATGATAATGATGTGTGGTGGAAGGGTTGGAATCATTATGAATGAATTTTTCTTAAATATTTTGGAAACTTGTTCATTTCTTCTCAGCCCGTGGAGATTTATCAAACTTGTGAGGTGGTCAAAGATAAACTGAACCTCGATCATAGGAAGTGGTGTAAAGGTATTTTCTCTGAACGGGGAGTGGAAGATGCTTTCCTTCAAATGCACCCTCTTAAATCTCCAAGACCTGATGGTTTACCAACCTTATTCTTTCAAAAATTATGGCCTTCTGTTGAAGTGAATGTGAAGTCTTTTGTCCTTGAAATTATGAATGGTGGAAAGGACCCCTCTGGTATCAACGATACCTACATCAAATTTTTTCCTAAAGGTAAGAATCCCAAATCCCCAAAATATTTTAGGCCCATTAGCTTGTGTAGCATGGTTATG